TCGTTTTTCTCCGCAGCTAAAAAATATGTCCATAACGAGTGGTAGGGGGAAAATGTTTGGACTAGTGTTGAGTAGGACTTACAAGAGGCGGTACATTTGTCCCGGACATGACGCCAAATTGTAAGAGCGGCTCAAAATTTTAAAATGTACTACTTCACATTAAATGTCGCGATAGTCGCGTCTCGTTACTCACTCACTCTTCGTAAGTCTGAGAGAGAGAGAGAGGCATGATATTTCATTTAGGTCCTCTACGCACTATCCATCTGTATCTCTATCTGTTTTACGTGTATAGCGCTGTCCTGCATGCTGGATCCAGCAATATTGATAGTGCGTAGAGGAGGTGCTACTCGTGCACACAAACGTAATGTCGAGCTTCTGTACGCCTCAATGTCATATTTATACTCGTCACTTCAAATGTATTGCCGAGCTTCAGTACGCCTCGCCTCATTTGAAGTGGGACATTGTACTGGTTCAGTACAAAAAAGAGGCTACTCTTACAAACTCTTTTTCAAGTCGTGTCCTACCCAACACTAGTTTGGACGATGCAAAAGTGTTGTTTTACATCCAATTTGAATAAAGATATATTGATTTCTGAGTGATGTGCGTGAAAACCTAAGAAACAAATATTCTATACCATGTTCATGCAGGCAAACGAGCTGGCATTCCACCAGATGGTAAGTTATGCTACAGCCCATGGATATATATTTTTTTATAATTTTTATAATTTTAAAGCATGTACCTGCTTGATGTTTAAACCTAAAGAAAATATAACTAGAAAACATTCCACGCGGACCAGGCAGCAGACGGGACTCGAACCTGCACCCTTCGCAATCCGGGCGAATGCACTGACCAATTATGCTATAATTACCTATAATGCGAAGAGATGACGCCTGCCTTGCAGCTTAAGAATGGCTAGAAGAATTTCGACGCGGTCCGTGAGGACCGCGGTAGCATAATTGGTCAATATTTTTTTTTCGATAGGTCCGACAAATGACTCCGCCCCACCTGATATAAAGTGACGGTGAAGTCCAGACGCGAAGATAGCTGATACAGCAGTTCTACCTGCCACACCAGCCATCCTCACCCTGCCGGCCTGCATGTTGTTTCTTCACGCCTCTTTTAAAGGATACCAGGTTGTAAGAAGGATGGAACACGTGAGCAGACAGAGCATTCCATTTACGGATAGTGAGAAAAAGAAATTTAGTCACCACCATGGACATATGCAGCACCAAAGATACCAATATAAGATATAATAATAAGGTATAAGGTATGACAGAGTTAAAGTTATAAAATATAGATTTTAGGGATTTTATCAGAACCCTGTTGGTGAAAACTGAATTTAATCCGTCCATCATCGGTCTGTCAGTCACAGGCTAAGTAGACAGTTAAAAAAATTCACAGAAAGTTTAAGAAATAAAGGCGATTTGAAGAAGCTTTAGCGCTTTTTTTGACGATCTCCGTGGCCTAGTGGTTTATACGCCGGATTTCATGGTGTCGCCGACTCGAAAGGTCCCGAGTTCGAATCCCGGTGGGGGCAGATGTTTTTGTGATGAATACGAGCATTTGTACTCCAGTCATGGATGTTTAATTTGTATTTCTATATAAATCTACTCATATATGTATTCTATCCGTTACCCTAGTATCCCATAACACAAGCCTTACAGTGCTTACTTAGAGTCTAGGCTAATTAGTGTGAGTGTTTTAAATATTTATTTATATTCTTTATGTATTTTTTAAACTGCAATGGCAGTATTATCTATCTATACTTATAATAAATCTGTAGAGATGTCAATTCTGTACATGAAATATATTTTTAAAATAACTATCAGGGGGTGATTAGTGATCGATACTGATGCCAAAAATGCAATCAGTAAAATTTTTGTCTGTCTGTCTGTCTGTGTGTATGTTCCTTATAGAAACAAAAACTACTCAACGGATTTTAACGAAACTTGGTACCATTATTCCTGGGCAGGTTATAGTATACTTTTCATCACGCTACAATCAATAGCAGCAGAGTAGTGAAGGGAAATGTTGGGAAAACGGGAGAAGTTACTCTATTTTTTAAGCTTCCGTCGCGGGTGCAGCCTTAATGGTTAAAGTTACATAGAAATCATGTATGACGGAAATATTCTACATAAAATTGTCTAAAAAATATTCCGCAACAGCATATGTCTATCTTTTATGGTTGACTCACTATAACACGTGTAATTATATAAATAAAGTCATTCTTTATAGCACAAGCCTGAGAACAAAAACTATAGTTTACACTACAGCTCTACACCGAAGGCGGGCCACTAGTTAATGAATAAAAGTCGTACGATGGTACGGATCCTTTGGTATTTGAGCCCCACTCACAACTGAGCGTTTTTATCTTCTAATTCAATGCACTTCAGATAATATGTCAAGCAAGAGTCGCCAATTCGTAAAATGATAGCTGTCCATTTTGATAATTTCGCGCGAGAGATAATGATTGCTCAGTTATTGTTCTTGTTGTTGGTAAAATTCAAAACAGTATTGTTTATTCAGTCTAGGCTGTTACAAGCACTTGTGAATGTCGGAAAGCTACGCCATCGGTTCGCAAATCTCCGGCGGGAGACCTTGTACTGAGAAGAACCGGCAAGAAACTCAGCAAGGGCTGTTTTTTTCTCCCTGTATTATATACAGAGTCGTCAAATTGAAAAATGACTTCATTAAGAGGTAACTCATAAAGTCACTTTCCATTATGTACAATGCAAATAATATAAAAATTATCACTATATAAAAAACTGGTTTAACAAAGTTTAAGAATGCCGTGTCCTACTGTTTAGGCAAAAAAATATTTAAGGATTATAAGTTTAGTACAACGATTAATAGTACCCAATGAAGCAAGAGCAGACTCATCTCCTCTAGCAGCACCCGTTCACGAGCATGACGCATGAACCAGCCATCGCTTCGCTCAACCATTTTTTAGGGAACGCAACGACCCCCCCACACACGACACCACCGAAGAGATTTTTAAGAGAGCATGACTACTCATAACTACACATGGATAGTATGTTACAAAAATAGAAAAAAAAATATAAGTACCAGTGTACATTATTATAACAAACTATAAACACAACGGCAGGACACATGCATGTGATTATCTAAACACTGTTGTCGATTCTGGCACTACTCTCCCAACCCAAAACCAAATCCAACATCAGTTCAGTCCCCCTTTTCAGTCTGTATAGAGAATATCAAGGATACACCGCTGCAAAACCAAATTCAGGTCTAGAAAACCATACCTGGGGGCCAATCGCCTAACGGAAATGCTTTGGTAACAAAACGCTAACGCTTACGATTTTATTTTGTTATGTCTAGCCGCCTGAGGTATTCAAATGCCTCGCGCTCTATCTTTGCATTGGTATTAACAATATTAAAAAAAAAGAGCGTGAGGTATTCGATAACCTCAGGCGGCTAGAAATAACAATATAAAATAGTAAGCGTTAGCGTTTCCCAAAGCATTTCCGTTAGGCGATTGGTCCCCAGGTATTTAAGGATATCGGTCATTAGATGTCTACGTTCGTCTGTAAAAGAATGAAGTTTTTAATAATAGATCTGTTATATATAAACACTGAAATACAAAAAATACCCAAAAACATCGCGCTTATTTTATTTTTAACCCTATCCAGATACCGTTGTGACAAAACCGCTTTGAAACCCGTTTAAACGTGTCTTTATATTGAATTATTTCTATCGGCTAAGGAGATGCGAGTGACCAGCCAGACATAGCTTCTTGGAACAAGCCTACACAACAAGCTCATAAGTAAAGAAAGCACAAACAAAGCTGGATTCAATTGCATGTGTGTGTGAGCACTGGCGACTATCGCGTACGAAGAGAAACATTTCTATTGGCGGCGACAGGTAGCCAGTGCACACTCGGCTGGACGCACAGTATGTCTTCTTTACTCATGTGGCATAGCAATGAGCAAAGGTCGGGGAAAGTTGAGCGACTACTGACGACATATTACGAAGATATGTTTATGATTATATTCACACAAGCGCCGTCTAGGGATGCGCTCGTCTCGATTGGAAAATAATCAATGTATCGATGTTTCGCTGCTGCTATAACCTAAATGCGTGGATATGAAATAATGAGATTGTACATACTAGTAGATTTGCATTTATATAGTAGCTGGCTCCAGTTTAGTCACCGTACACCGATACAGAGAGGACTCGTGTGACGGGATTAAAAACTGGATTGGAAAAAAGTATTTCGACGAAGTCAGCGGTGGCATGACAGTGAGATTGGCGCCAGCTTAAAACATGTAAATCTATATTATTATATAAAAAAACTCGCCGATAACTTCCTCTATTGTTTCCTTGTATAAACTTACGCTGACATTTTTACCCATTTGAAGTTATTCGTGAGAAAAAGTATATTAAGATCTTATCCAAAGTTGGCTTTATCTGCATACCAAAATTCATCAAAATTAGCTTAAGAATGAAAGCGTAATAAACAGGCATAAAAGTATCTTAGATCAAACATGCTCTTCATCGGAATGGAATGGAATCTTTGGCAAACATGAAAAGAAAATCATAATAAATATCACGGTTTTTTTATGTTACTAATTTTGCTAATAAAATATTTAAAAATTAATTCAATAGTGCTATCATAACTTATAGGTACTCGACTTTATACGTGTACAAACCATGTTACACCATGTCTTGAGAGCTACAAAAATTGTTTGATGTTCAGCAATCAAAAGTCTACTGGGGGGAACTCAGAATGTAGAGTTCATTGTAGTTGAATAATTCCTTAGTTTCTGTAAAGTAAGGAATAATGGTGAATTACGGACTATAAAAAAATAAAAAACGCAATATTTATAAATGCTTTGATTTTTATATTTTTCTAACCCTGAAACATTTTAATATTTTTTAGACAAACGTTTATCGATAACGCAGACTCCCGAGCGCATCACTAGCGGAGTAGTCGTGCAGGTCGCGTGCGCATCGATATGCGTCTATCAGTACAGTGATTGTGCGCCCCAACACTACCCGTGTTCTCGGCGAAAAGCACTTACAACCGACAATTAGTGCGAGTGTGCAACACGTGTAATAATTAATTAAATATAACAATCAAACATTGAATTACGAATAGACAATTGAGAACTATTTTCGGGTAAGTGCCAAAGGAAATTCTTTAGAATATATTAAAAACAGTGTCTAGGAAGCTTTAAGTATTGTTCCATGAACCTATACTGTTAGAATCATTGACCAGCGATAAGAATATTATTAAAAAAAAAAGTTTTTTTTTTCTGTAGGCAACGTCGTAATATGTTAGGAGTACGAAAATGATGTAATTGTATTGCAAAATTTTGATACATAATTGTTTAAAAAAATACTGTCTACTGCTTTGAATTACCTAATTAATCCATTTTTTTTATGACCTTATGATATCGATTTGCCCTTCAGACAGATACACAATGTTTTGCGTGAATTATCTAAATGTAGTAAAAATAATGAAACATTGTTGTCATAATGAAGATTTTATCTTTTATACACACACTGAAGATATTAAATACAGCCCCAGCTTACACTTGTCATTGTTTAATCAAATAATTTACTTACACTTTTGAATTACTTCAATGAATAAAATTCTATGATCATAACACTCCCTGAAACTGCTAAAAAATAGAAATTCAAACTGTATGATTATAATTTCTATACACCAATTGTTACTGTCGTTGCATTGTAAAAAACACTGTCGTATTGAAAGCTTTTTTCGCGACTATTATTTGTTACTATGGGGGCTTGCCTTATATCGCTGTAAGAAAATAGTTTATAGCTAAATGAAATCTATAAAAACTCTTTCAAAATCCGTTTTCTTTTGTGGCTCCAACTGCAAATGATATTTGCGAGAAGTGCTATCTAACGACATATGTGTATAGTTGATCGTTATTGGTCGGTATCGAAATTTCGTCTGTCCTCCTTTCCGTCAATGAATAAGCGGAAAAATTAATGCGATTAAGCATTTAAAAGATCGCATTTGCATTTGTATCAAATGTTGCGTTTAGTGTCAATCAACAATCCATCGACAGATCACAATTACAATTATAAATTTGTTTTATCCACCTGCCTAAAATCTTGACAGAGGGATTGATTTTTCTAATGAAGATTTTCTTTAGATTGAAGATAATTAATTAATAATTATTTTCTTTCGAGCTAATTAGTGCTTACAACTATAGTATAATAAATTTTATAATTATAATAAATACACACAAATATGAGTCAAGACTTTAATCGATATGCATCAGGACTCTTTTTTTTTGCACTACACTAATATAAAATAGTTAATAAAGTACTAAAGTTAATATAATTTCTGCGAGAAAAAAAATTTTTGACGGTACGCTTCCCCTAGTGATTATTTATAAAATAAAAAATAATTATAGACAAATTCGTGGAGTTATTCGAGAATTAATGTATTCCTTATTTAATTATTTTAAATCAGTACGCTGGAGTAGTATGAGAATTATCTTACAATCCCATGGAATAAAATCAAACTCAGTTAAAGAAGATTTTTCGTCTTGGAGTAGTTTGGGAAATAATTTTGGAGTACTATGAGAAAATCTAGCCACCCCAGCCATGGGTTCGAATCGCTAACAGATCAATATAAAATATGAATGTGTGATGAAATTGTAATTTTCCTACTTGTCAGGGATCTTTGTGTTAAGTATGTTTATGCATTTATCTAGAATTAGTTATGCATCTAGAAAATTGCTGTATTTTTTTTTAAGCATTAAACTGCTGGATATTTAAATCTTAAGAAATTTATACTAGAAAAAAATCCACGCTGACCAGGCAGCACACGGGACTCGAACCCGCAGCCTCCGCTATCCGGGCGTATGCACTGACCATTATACTACCGCGGCCCTAATGGCCGTGTCGAATTCTTTCTACTATTTCTTAGGCTGCAAGGGTTCGAGTCCCGTCTGTAGCCTAGTCAGCGTGGAAAATTTTCTTTAGATTTAGATATTGTTTTTGAAGTGTCCAAATTAATTTCTAGTTATGATTTTTTTTAAGCATTTAACTGCTAGATGTTTAAATCTAAAGAAAAGTTTACTAGAAAAAAATCCACGCGGACCAGGCAGCGGACGGGACTCGAACCCGCATCCTTCGCTATCCGGGCGAATGCACTGACCATTATGCTACCACCGCCCTATTAGCCGCGTCGAAATTTTCCTAGCCTTAAGCTGCAAGGCAGCGCCATCTCTTCGCATTGTAGGTAACCCACAATGTCAAATGAATACTTTTTCAAGTATTAAACATTTGGAAGAAGAAATAGCAATTATAGTTATGATTTTATTTTTTAAGCATTTAACAGCTAGATGTTTAAATCTAAAGAAAAGTTTATTTGAAAAAAATCCACGCGGACCAGGCAGCGCCATCTCTTCGCATGGCGCTGCCTTGCAGCTTAAGGCTAGGAAAATTTCGACGCGGCTAGTAGGGCCGTGGTAGCATAATGGTCAGTGCATTCGCCCGGATAGCGAAGGATGCGGGTTCGAGTCCCGTCCGCTGCCTGGTCCGCGTGGATTTTTTTCTAGTAAACTTTTCTTTAGATTTAATATTTTCTATTTAGATTTATACCCAATCACGCAAAACAGGAGGAACGATGTAATACGCCATATGTTTAGTTTATAACCTAGAAAATAGGATTACTTTTATCCCTAAAAAAGGATACCAAAGGAACGTATCATTTTTCCAGCATATAAATATCCTATGTCTCAATCCAGGTCATAAAATATATGCGCACCAAATTTCATCTAAATCCATTCAATAGTTTTGCGTGTTTGAGTAGGTAACGAACATACAAACTTTCACATTAATATATATTTTTAACACACACACCAAATAGCCTAGCCCTAAAGTAAGCACTATAAAGCTTGTGTTATGGGATACTAGGGTAACAGATAGAATACATATACTGTACATATATAAGTATATATATTCAGAAATACGTATTAGACATCCATGACTAGAGTACAAATCCTCATATTCATCCATAAACATCTGCCCCACACCGGGATTTGAACCCGGGACCTCTGGAGTCAGCGACACCATGAAACCCGGCGTCCAAACCACTCGGCCACGGAGGTCATAATATTAGTAATAGACTAGGAAATGTTTAAAAATCACCGGTAATTTTAAATAGATACCTACCTAAGTCAAATTACAAATGGTAATTTACTAAATTGGACAAGATTTAGTGAGAATGGTGACGTATATTATATTTATTGACATTGACTTTGAACCGAAGGCTGGCACAACTTTAAAGTTCATTAACGTTCACTCCTTAAAGTTCAACTTGACCAAATATAGTTCGGTTAAAGGTAAAAGAAATTACGCATAAACTTGAGTTCCGTATTTGTTTTTGAATTCGAAATTCACTTGTTTTCTGATGGGGTGTAAATAAAAACACCTATGGAAAAGATAGAAAGACGGTAATGTGTCACGAGCGTCACACGATATATATATATATATATATATATATATATGTGTGTGTGGGATGCGTGCACAGCTCTTCCCGACGAACATGAAAGTTAGAGGTTAACTCGGCGAAGGCGTCACGAGGGCCCTACATATATTGCCGCGAGTATATATATATATATATATCTATACATATATATGAGTGATGTGTGTGCTGCTCCATTCCCCTATGCCCTATTTACCGCATTATGTTAGGTTATTTATGAAAAGAAGTTTCACTTCAGATGTGTGTGACAATGTGTCTGTGCACACATTTTTTCTATACAGGGTGGTCCAACTAGTGACGTCAACAAATTTTTTTTAGATTCCTCGCACCGCATTCGAAAATACCCTATGTATGTTCCGCGATTTTTTTTAGTTTTCGAGTTATAATTTTTTTTGTGTATTTTTAATGATTTCTGCCAGAGAGGTTTCAAAAATTCTTATCTTTTTTTCGTAGTAGGTATTTTGCAGTCGTTTTGTCTTGGAAGTTGGATCTTTAGTTTGGGGTATTTTCGGATAACTCCAGGTGCGAGGAGTCTAGAAAAAAATTGTTTACGTCGCTAGTTGGACCACCCTGTATAATTCTATTTTTTTATGTTAAAAGGGTGCGCAAATAAGCCTAATAGTAAGCGGACACTTGTAGCCTATAGCCGCTCTACAGGCAAAGTGTCTGTAGAGTAGAACCCTCATCAGGTAGACTGACGACACCAAGCGAGTCGGAGGGACCCAATGGAGGTGAAAAACGCAGGATCGTTGTGTTTGGAAATCCTATTTAGCACTTAACTGTAGATGTAGGGCCGCGGTAGCATAATATGCAGTGCATCTACCCGGATAGCGGAGGGAGCAGGTTCGAGTCCCGTCTACTGCCTGGCTGAATCTAATTTTGTTTAGATTTGAATCCCTAGAGGAGGCATATGTCCAGCAGTGGGCCGTCCAACGGTATTTTTTAGAACCGGGTATTTTGATGCATGTAGTCTGAGCCTTCATCGTCATGATCAGCCTATTAATGTCTTACTAGCAAACCAGTGAACCAAATGTTCACAAAAAAAAATGTATTTAATTAATTGAGAACTTCGGAGATTTTGTGTGGTTTCGTTTGAAATAGAAATCACGTGATTTCTCGAAAACCGGAAGTGCTTCGTTACTCAAATCCGGTTTGTAGTCTTATCAGACTATTCTTAACTTATAACTTAAACATTCTCTTTATCTATCTCTTACGGTTTGGCCGCTGAAACAGCACCACGGACGGACGGACGGACGGACGGACTTGTCTAATAAATAAGAGATATTGTGCTCTATGGATGATAAAGGTTTATTGCGCGGGCCCAGTGCGGATTTGCGGGTGCTAATAACTGCAGATGTAGTTGGGACCAACTGTTTAACATGCCTACCGAAGCACGGAGGAAATCGAGATAGAAGAATTTTGGTCACCCATCCAATGACCGACCACTGCGAAAGTTGCTTAACTTCAACTATCGCAGCCGAACGCTCTAACCACCCACGCCATCGAGCTCCTCTGAGCTTTAAATCTCTTTAATCATACACTTTGATTTCATACAGGAATCGAACTCGTCCATTTCGCTATGAAATCACACTAATCTTATAAAGGCTAAAGTGTGTGAGTGTGTATGTTTGTTACTTCTTCACGTCTAA